TTAAATGTCAGTGCTGAATATATACTTTAAAAAGATATATAGAAGTTCTTCCAATTAATAATTATTTGAAGAAAATGAAGAATATTCAATCTTTTACTACCTGTCTGAGTCTTTCTTACACAATCAGTGTTGCAAAATTATATAATGGTGGTCTGAGAACATATATATATATATATATATATTACAATAACATAACATACTTATTGAGTAACATTTATATAACAACAATAATACACTTGGAAACAAAAGGTAAATATATATATAATGTTAACTGTGATAGTACTGTTTAATTAGACACAAAGACTAGACATTTCATGAAACCAAAGCAACTTGATTTGAAAGAACGAGTGTAGCTATTCAATATCATTCTCAACTTAAAAATCACAATCAACTGCAATGGCGTCTGATGCCCTCTTCTGGTATGTATGAAGAGAGCAATGATGAATAAATAAAAATTTTAAAAAAATCAGCACTTAACTATTTATTTATTTATTTTGGAGTGTATGTGCTTTGCCCATGTGTAGAATTTAGAGTTGGATTTCACCTTATTTATTTATTTATTTATTTATTTATTTGGACATGTATGTGCTTTGCCCATGTGAAGAGTTTTCGCCTTCAGAAATGTATGTTCTAGGGACTTAACTCAGGTCTTCAGCTTGGTGGAAGATGTATTTACCTGTGGAATTGTTTTCCTCATTCAATTAATGACTTAGTGACTGTTTTAATATTTGTTTTATGGTTATTAGAAGAAGAATGTTGAAATTGTCAACTCCAGTTATGAGAATGTTTATATTTTCTGCCTCATCAGTTCTTGGGCTTCCCATTATTTTGAAGTTTTGTTTTTAGATGCTTGATTTTAGGATTAAGTGCTCTTGATAAGTTGTCCATTTGTTATCATAGGCTTGTCTCCTCTCTCCTTTGTCAGTGTGTTTACTCTAGTACTTATTTGGTCAGATGTTAACATAGTTTCATGAAGGCATTTCATTTTAGAAATCGGTGTTCATAGAAGTTATAAGTGAGCTAGGAATGAAATACTGGCTGAGATAAAAGAATTATATACCCTCTCTTCCTAATGTGGATGAATTAACATAGGACAACCTGTGTCATCTGATTTCACACAGTCTTCTCTCTTATGGACCATTCTGTCATGAGCAGTTTCTGATTTCCAGCTTTCATCTTACCTCATACTCCCCAACTTTACCTTTAACTCAGTTCAGTTAAATTGCACTGGTCTTTTCTTCTAGATGATTCCCTGCTTGGAAGTGTTCCCACTCACTTAGCCTTTGTGACATTATATTCTTTAGGAGTCAAATAGTTGATGTTATTTACTTAATTAAAACTTTCCCACCTGGAAGTAAGCAAATGATGCTTGGCACTGATATGCACTTTTCATGCAAATATCTTCTCTTCAGTTCTTATCTAGATGACATTATAAAAATAAGTACACCAGAGAGAGTTGTGTTTCCCTGTATTAGACACTCTAAGTTTATACCACAGTGAACACCCTGACACCTAAGTGAGCAACAAATCACTAGAAGAAATGTCAGATAATATTAGAATCCCATTGATAGTGACAAAGTATAAATTGTGTCAATTTTCATGCTTCAGAATAAAGAGAGAAAATTACTTTAAGCAAGGTAAATTACATTAGTCTCTGCTCATAGAATATAGGGTCCTTTTATGAGCTTATTGACTCTGTGGGAAGAAAATAGGATATGAAAGTAGAGAGATAACTATTATAGATGTGTAAGAGGAAAAAAGAAAAGACATAAAAAAGGTAATAGAGGAGATGAAAATGCTTGTACATAAATCATATGTACAAGTAAGTGTGATTTGAGGATAACTATTGCTCTGTAATAAATTTGTAGAGGCTGATTTAAAAATTCAAGGTCTTTGGTTGGTGGTTTAGTTCATGGGAGCTCTGGGTGGTCTGGTTAGTTGATATTGTTGTTCTTCCTATGAGGTTGCAATTTCCTTCAGCTCCTTCAGTCCTCCCCCCAATTCTTCCATTGAGGTCCCCATACTCAGTCCAATGGTTGACTCTGATTATCTGCATCTGTATTGGTCAGGTGCTGGCAGAACATCTCAGGGGACAGCTATACCAGGCTCTTGTCATCAAGCACTTCTTGGGATCAGCAATAGTTTCTGGATTTGGTGTCTGCAGATGGGGTACATCCCTAGGTGGGTTGGTATCTGGATGGCCTTTCCTTTTTTGTCCCTCTATTTTCTTTAGATAGGGACAATTCTGGTACACATGGAGGGACCCATAGCTCCAGCTACATATGTAGCAGAGGATTGCCTTGTCTAGCATCAGTGTTAGGGGAGGCCCTTGGTCCTGTGGAGACTCAATACCCCAGCATAAGGGGATACTAGAGCCATGAAGTGGGAATGGGTGGGTGGATGGAGGAGCACCCTCATAGAGGCAAAGGAGAGTGGGGATGGGATGGCAGGTTTGTGGAGGAGAAACTGGGAAGGGGGAAAACATTTAAAATGTAAATAAATAAAATACCAAAAAATTCAAGGTGAAGAAAGGGGTCTTCTTAGCAAGTAAGAACACACACACACACACACACACACCACCCACCCCCAACACAGAGAGAGTTTCATTAAGAATAGAACATTGTTAGAAAGTAATACTTGGCCCTGATGCTGTTGAAATCATGTTAATTTTGTCTCTTTAGGTGTGTACTCCTGAGGCTAAGCTCTTTAGGGACCTCACTCTGAGTTATTAGTAGCTCCAGATGAGATTCTTTATTTTGTGCAATAAGTGGGTGAACATTCATCCAGGAATTCTCTCTTTATGACCAGGCCCATCACCATGGGCAGACCATTTTCTTCACCAAGTACTTGAAAAGTCATGCTTTTCAGAAAGGCCACCACCATGTAGGGTGATGAATCTTTCTTCCTTATCCAAAAACTGATCATTGCCTTTGAAATGGTAAAAGAAGTTGCAGAAAGGATATTCCTAAAGACGTGAGTGCATTACAGGCTGACCTATATGAAACTTATAATGTATGGATGAAAAAGATCAGCATCAGTCTAAATGTTGGAAAAACTAAGTCCCATGAGCCTGAACAACTGGTTCATGCATTTTCTTCTGAAGGATATTACGTGATTTTAAATAATTTAGAGTCATTTTCATACCAATGTATTATAGTTTTAAAAATTACTAAGATATTTTATGGGCTCTTGAATTTTGCTGCAAGATATATTATATGAATAAAAGGATATATATATATATATATTCTCCACGAGAAGAATAATGCATAATAGCTGATCAATGTGCTTTTCCATAATATATTTTAAAACAATACATTGTATATTAAAAATGTGTATAGTTTTATCAGTTTTTTAAAGATATATTTATTTATATTATGTATATGAGTACACTGTAGCTATCTTCAGACACACCAGAAGAGGGCATTTGATTCCATTACAGATGGCTGTGAGCTACCATGTGGTTGCTGGGAATTGAACTCAGGACCTCTGGAAGAGCAGTCAGTGCTCTTAACCACTGAGCCATCTCTCCAGCCCGTTTTATCAGTTTTAAATGAATAATTTTGCAAGAAATGATGTGCAAAAGACATTCTAGATCCTAACATAAAAGCGCAGGAAGAACATAAAGATTCCATGACATATTTTATGGAAAGTTCAGAATTACTTGCAATAAATAAAAAGAAAACAAACCAATCAGATGAATAGTCATTTCTCCAAACTTGGTGCTGCGTGTCCTTGCTCTTGCTCCTTACAGTCATTTGAACTGACATATTTGGATGATCATGAACAGGAACATTTCTGCAATGAGTAATAATGCCTCTCCCCTAAATCTCAGCTTAATGCTTATGACTGTTGAAAAATATTTAGTTAGTATTATTGAAATAATTTCAATCACTTTTTTGTATTGAAACTATTTGAATAATGGAATCACTATCAGCTATTTGAAAGTGTCATATATTGTCCTAAGAAGCTGTCAATAACTTCAATACTGTATATTTTAGAGAACATAATTCGACTATTTTGCAATTTTATTTTAATAAATTATTCTATACAACCTTCCTCTAGGAATTTGAAAATGTTGTACTGCCTTGGCTAATAAGTGATAAACTTATCATGAATGAAAGGGATAGTCAACATTTCAGAAATGTTATTGGTTGATTTAAGTATGCCTACCTAAGATTCTTATGTAAAGTATTAGAAACATTGAGATATAATTTTATATTATTTTAGCTTATTATATGATTGATTTTTCTGCATAATTTCTGTGGCAAATGGCTGCTAGCACAGGTTTCTCCATCTGCTAGGTAAATTTCATGTCATTTAATGACATTAGCTGCTTTTAAAATCGAATCTGTCAAAGACTTTGTACATTTTTTTCTTTTTATGGAGAGATATTTATGAGCATGAACAAATATAACTACCCCTAAACATAGCAATTCTCTTTTAAAATGTAATTTTATTGAATAAAATTTATAACATATGACTATATAATCTTTGTGGGAAGAGTTACCAAATCAAGAGAAAGACCATATACCCAAGATTTTACATGATATTTTCATAGCTGACCAGCCACAGAAGCTACAAACAACCTCTTCCATTTCAATATTATTGTCCAATAATCTGTTGAAAATCTTCTTCAGAAAAACTGTCATTGAATTAATATATTTGTGATTTGTTATTAGTGATTGCAATAAAAGAATACACTTTTGTTTCACAACAGAATTCAACTTACAATGGAAGAAAAGAATCAGACCATTGTAACAGAGTTTTTCTTCCTGGGCCTAACAGATCATCTCCATCAGAAGATTGTACTTTTCATCATGCTCCTCTTTGTTTATCTTGTAACACTGGGGGGCAACTTGGGCATGATCACTCTCATATGGGTGGACCCCAGGCTGCACACACCTATGTACTTTTTTCTCAGCCACCTGTCATTTGTTGATATGTGTTCCTCTTCTTCCATAGCTCCTAAG